TTTATGCATATGTAATCATTGGTGCAATGTAACAATCTAACTCCTCTTCTCAAAAAAAAACTATAACAACCTAACTACAAGATGTGGACTCATGGAGTTGTGCATGGTTTATGACTTTTTGTCTTTGACTCTATAATTATATTGGGAAAAAGACATATACTCCTTCTTTAAATTTGGAGTTCCGTATACACCCTCAGTCCATGGGAGGCCAGTGTAGCCCCTCGAAGTTTTAAAAAAGGGACAAACACCATCCTCTTCACCATTTTCCTTTTCATTTTCTGAAACCGCCCTTTCTTATTCCCTCTGTCCAAAAAAAAAAAAACTTCCCTTCTCTCATCTAATCCCATTATATCCCTCTCTCCCTAAAAAAAGAGCAGCAGACATCTCTCTCCACAAAGAAGAGCAACAATCCTTATCTTAGCCCAAAGAGCAGCAGTGCAGCCCTTTCTCTCTCTCTCTCTCTGAATTTCAAGTTCACCCTGTTTGAGAGAGGATGAAATGGTTGTGGCCTTTGTCCAGATATGCTTCCCTTCTTTCTTTTTCTTATTGCTAAAAACTAGGGTGTTGGGACGACTAGGTTTCTTTTCTAAGCTTTCAAGGCTCAAGGTTTAGTTTATTACATTTTCATGAAAAGAGAGGAAGACTGCCTGAGCTTTGGATGTTTCTTCTACTTCTTGTTCTAAACTTCTAATTCACGAATTAGGGTTTTGGATCAATGATTTTTGGTTTCAGTAAATTAGGGTCTCATATACTACAGTTTGCTGAGTAGCAGGATGAATGGGTCATAGATCGAGTATTTCAAAAGAATTCAGGGGGACATAAGACTGCAGTTACAGGTTTTATGAGGTTGAATTCTTTTGGAGATGAACTGGGTTCTCCTTTCCCTCCATTAATGGAATCCCCAGACAAAATCAAGCCCTGTTATGATCAAGCTCAAAATGTGACCTGCTTCTCCAATAGAGGAGAGGACCACAGCCACAACCACCCTGAAGAAGGCTCAGTGATGAATGAATACTTCCATACTTCTTTCTTCACGAGCAATTATATAGACACAGCAAACCAACTTCATCTCTCTATCCAAAAGCTCCATTTGAGAGGCCTTTCTATGCTCCAAGTGTTCAATGTTTACTTAGCCCTAGGCTGGATTCTGTGATAAGCAATTTTGCAAGCTCTTCTCAACAGCCATGGCTCAGATTCAAAGCACTTGAAGCTGAACCAGGTATTGGCAAAACCAGAGTATATGACTCCTAATTGACCAGCCATGATTAGCATATCTCAAGAGCCTCGGTTCAGTAGTCAGGCAAATGTTGAGATCTCTTCAGTGGTATCTAACTATGAAATGGGGACGAGGCCTTTTCCTGATCATGAGGATCACCCGTCTTCTAATGGACCAGCGGACCTTGATTGTCTTCAGAACTATTAGAAAAGGAAAAATCCTAGAGAAGCTTGTGATGTAAATTATTCTTTTTTTCTTTTACATATGGTGTATAATTTTCAGGAAAAAGTAACACACACACACACAACATGACGGCATCGTATAAGAACAAATTAAGCTTCTTCACATTTTACTATTTTTCATTTATACATCTCTGAGAGTATCATTTCTTGTTCTTGTTCAAAACTATTTAGGAAATCAAGGATTCATAGGATGGATTTGTACAGTTGAAGAGGAGTTTGCACCTAACACTTTAATTATGATGAGGGATAGTGAAGACGGCGCCTTTGGGCCCAGTGAGAGAGAGAGATGGCCACGCTTCTTTGGGAGGAGGGAGATGGCTGCAGCCCTTTTTTTCTTCTTTTTTTTTGGGGGGGTGTGGGGGTGGGGGAGGGGAAGGGAAAGAGTGGGAGGGGGGAGAGAGAGAGAGAGAGAGAGAGAGAGGGAGGGGAGGGGAAGGGAAGGAAGGAGGGAGGGGAGGGAGAGAGAGAGAGAGAGAGAGAGAGAGAGAGAGGAGGAGGAGGGAGGG